TTGTACAAGTCATATGTAATGCATTGACCAAAAACACAATAAAGGCAGTAGCTACCGATAACATCGGCTTTAATAAATTAAAAAAAAAAAAATAATAATAATAAACAAATTACTGTTTATTCAATTGTTTTGGAATAGTACATTTACATGTTTTCATTTCATAGATAAGATCAATTCTATTATTATTACTCAAAGTAATTTTGTTACAATCGAAACATTAATTGAAATAGATTTCACATCTCAAAAAATAAGTTACATAGTAAAATAAATCTTCTTCAAAATAAGTATCTAAAACTTTACTACTATTCTTTTTAAAACTAAGTGATTTTTATAACATAATGATAAATTTTATATTTACAACTAATACTATAAAGATTAAAAAATTTTACTTTATGTTCATGATTAAGAACCTTATTTTGAATTTTTTTCTGTCTTTAACTTGATTAGTGAAAGAAAAATTATAAACATCACAAGGTCTTAGTAAAGGCATTTTGTTAGGTCTTTTTATATTCTTTTTTCTCATACCTGAAGGAGACTGCTTTTTTAATAAAGAATAATTTAATTTTCTTACAACAAGAACAAGTATTGAATTTATGATTTTGTTCTTTTTTTTCAAATATTTTTTTAATATACATTTTATAAAAATGTTTAAAACTTTATTGCCATTCTGCTTAACTATATACAGTAAATAATTTCTCTTTCATCAATGAAAAAATCATATTCTTTATTTCAATACTCATCAAAGTATTTTTTCAGTATTTGTAGTATTAACAATTTTGAAATAACAAGTTGTTTAATATTTTTCTTACACATTTTTTTTAATATTATTAGTTATTTTACATATTTGATAATCTTTTATATTTGAAAAATATTAATGATTAGTAATTCAATTCATTTAGTAAGTTGATAAATCAGTATGAATTACTGATTTATTTTACAAATTTGTATAAATTACTAATATATTCTATAAATCAAGACTGATTACTGATTAGATTTTAACTAATTTACACAAATTTCTATATCAGGATTTTACAGATTTAGCATTTATATAGTATATTACTATTTATGAGATAAAAACAGAAACTTGGTTTTTTTTTCATCTTTGAAACATCTATAAAAACCTAGAAAATTCATTTTGCTTTAACTTCAAAATTATAATAATTCATCCAAATATTACTAAGCTCAGCTTCAAATATTCAAAAGTAATTAAAAAATAATTACTTTGAAATAGAAAGAGATGTTACAACCTATTTTAAATATTTCTCTCTAATTCAGTACAAGATTATACTGATTTATTTATAACTAATAAAAGATATCTTAGTGAAACATTGATTTTGATCAATTCTATATTCATGTTTACAAGAAACATAAACAAAAAAAAAATTTGACCTTTTTGAACACATGAATAAGATCAAATTCAAAGATTATTTTGTCTGCAAATGCAAGAAGCAATATAAATTTTATGAGTATCTTTGGCAGTATAATACTTATTATAATAATAATTATTGTCCTTTTAAGATATAATGTAACTATTTTTAACTTCTTCAGAATGTCAACAAGAATATTTCTTTTTCTAAAAAGTTAGTTTGACCTAATTCCAAAGGATCTTTAATGTGAATAAAAAGATATTTATTTTGATTTAAACCAGATTATAAGATCTGGTTTTGGATAATAAGTTTTAATAATACATATTCACAAAAATACAAAAATGAAGCAAAACTTTTAAAAAAGTTCAAAACATATGTGAACAGAAAAGATAAAAAGAAAAATAAAGCTTTTAAACAAGTTAAAACTAAAAAAAAAAGGTAAAACTAAAAATAAAGATCTTGTTTCTTATATTAAAAAATTAATTAATTTTTAATTAAATTGAATTAAGAATTATAAACTTTAATCTTTAGTATATCAACCTTAATCTCCTATATATATATCTAAATTACCATCTATTCAGTCTAAGACCAAGTAAATTTCTTTATATATAACTTTATTTGTTATTTTTTATTTACTAATAGTTAAAATGTATCAATAAATCAATTTTTTTTTAATTAAACTTTTCAAATTATTTTTAAAATATTTTGTCAATTTTATTAAATCAAATCAACATTTAATTGAAAACACAAAAGAACATTTATCAATTTCATTATATAATTGTTTTATAACAGTTATTGAAAACACAAGACAATATCTATTAGTTCTATTATATGATTATTTTACAATAGATATTCTATCTTTAACTAATATTTTTATTAAAAAGTTAAATAAGTATAATTTTGTGAAAACATTAACTAATTACAAATATTTTCTCAATAGAGGATTATATAAAAATTGTAAAAAAATAGAATATTCTCATACTTGTTATATAGCTTGTAAATAGGAGTTAAATCAGTATGATTGTAAGTTCATTTGTAGGCTCATATATTTAATGCAATATAAATATAGATATCCATGTTAATTTGCAAAATGTAGGTACTTTACAAATGATTTGAACAATGTTTGTTATTAATATAAAGGCAAGATAATTAAAAATAAAGTTGTTTTGTTTATAAATGAAAAAGACACTCAACTTTTTAATATTAATGAACTTATTAATCAAATATATTGTTTTAAATATGATTTATATAATTATATTTCTTCTCATTATTCTCAAATGTATTACTATTATTTGGATTAAAATTTTGTAAAAATTTATTTTATTGTTTATAATATTTTTATATTTAATAAATATGTCTAACTAGAACATTTGTACTAGTTGAAATTTTAAATACATAACTCTTGTTTATAATGTATTTATCAAAAAAGAAATTACAACTTTTGGAAAAAAATTTTTTGTTATAAATATTTTCATAAAATTTATTTCTTTTTATATGGATCTAACAAAATTCAGTTAAAAAAGAAAGATGTTTATAAATAGTTAGACAAAACTAAAACTAATAAAAAAGAAGAATATTTTAAGATTAATTTTTTACATATTTTTAATTTCACATATTATTTAAGAATGTTTAAAAATAATTTTATTAGAAATTATGAATCAATCTTTAACACTATGTTTATTTTGATCAGTGATGTTAAATAAATATTTGATATAGTTGATAAAACATTTGGTCATAATTTTATTACTATTAATACTAATTTAGATTATTCTGATCATTTAAATAATAAGGTTTTTTTTGCTATAGTTGTTAAAGAATTTGTTAAAAAAAGATAAGATGTTAATTATTATTATATTTCAAAAATCACAGAAAAAAAAATATTTTTTATAACAAAATATGAAATTGATGAATGAAAAGAGAATTTTAAACTATTAATTTACAAAAATTTTGAAGAAATTTATAATAATAAGATGAAATGGAAAATCGAATGTTTAACAGTTTTAAAATTCAAAAACAAGCAAGATTCAGAGATCAAAATGATTTTAAATAAAAAGTATAATAATGTAATAATTAAAAGATAAAGCTAACTAATGTATATTTACCAGTTAAAATTTTAATTATGCAAATAGATCTTATTTAATTCACATATTAATTTAAACATCAGTTTACTAAAGATTATAATATTATACAAAATTATTATTATATATTAAATAATTCTGATTATTGAAAAGCACAAGAATTTTGTGATAAATACTTTTTATTTTTTGAATCATTATATTTATCTTATCCAAAAGTTATTAAAAATAAGAATCATTTGAATTTATTGTTTTGGACTTCTGTTGAGATGAAGGATTTTTTACAACTAGTCACTGTTACAACAAATGATTTTCAAAAAAGAATCCTATCAATTCGTTAAATATACTATTAGAAATTCTTCTTTAAGAAAATGAAGATAACTGATGCAGTTAAATTAGTTAATATTTATATTCAATATTATGAAGATCTACAGAAACTTAAAAAAGAATATTTTAAACTAGAAAGTTTTCTATATAATGAAGCACAAAAATTTCAAGATACTTACAAACTTTTATTTAATTAATTTTTATTATATTTTTATTATAATTTTACTAATATTGATTCTGAGATGAAAATTGAAAATTTGTTTATAATAGCTTATCTTGTAACTTTTAAAATTAAAATAAATTAATCTGCTTAGTTTCTAACCAAGCAAAATTTTTTTGATGTAATTTCAAAAGATAAAAATTATTTATACAATAATTCAAAATATAAACATCAAGAATCTTATCAATATTGTGATTAATAGTTATGCAGCCTCAGGAAAAACAATAGTTGAAAAAGCAATTGCAAATAAATATAGTTATTAGTATGATTATTCTATTGATGAAATTAAACAAATCTTCTTTGAAGAGAAAGAGCCTTTGCTAAAAATATTTAATACTATCAAATATTTTGATGATGAACAATATCAAAAGTCTAGATTACATGCTACTCAGATATTAATAAATAATGAATTATATGATTTGATCAATAAGATTATTAGAAAGGCAGTTAAGAACAAGAGATTTGTAGTTGTTGGTTATAATATTACAACTCGTTGTCTATTTGATGCTAAAGTGAAAATATTATTATTAGCTGAATTTGAAATACATGTAGCTTGACATGTTTTACAAACCAAGTTGACAAAATTTACTAACATACTTACTAATATTTTAGAATGAGATATATTATCTTAATCATTAATCAAACAAGCTTACAATATATCATATAAGATTGATACTACCAAATTAATATTATCAGAAGTTGTTGATAAGATCTTGGTTTAGATTTTTAAAAAGGTTCTTAGTATAATATACCAATATTATTACAGATTTATTATTATTATTATTTAGTTTTATTCTTATTAAATTATTTTAATTTTTAATACATTCAATCTTTTATTATCTAGTTTTTTTATTTATTTATATTTTATTTTAAATAAATCATCTAGTTTGTCTTTATAACCAACTAGATTTTTATCTGTATAACTTTTAATATCAATTACATTTTACTATGTCTAATTATCAGAACCTCAATCATTAACCAAACCTGTATATGATGTTAGTTTGATATTTGATAAAAATACTAAAATCTCAAAATATGTATTTGAAATCTGTCTTGACAAGATTTGTCCCAATGATCCTAGAAAGTAAACACTTTTTTTAATAAAACTTAAAGAATTTTATACATATAGAGTTGAAATTTTTTCTAGAATTGAAGCTAACTATGCTTTAGTTCATGATAAGAGTAATTCTTATTATGAAAAAGCTAGCAATTGTAAAGAAAAAGTTTTAAAAAAACTAGATACAGTGCAGAATAGAAATATAATTATGTTATTAATACATATTTTAAGCAACTTACTGAACTTAAAAAATGAGTTCAAGTAAATAGTAGAAAAAAATGAATTAAAGTCACTAAGAAAATTACTGATGTTATGAATTCAGAAACTAAAAATAAGAAAGAAAAAGTTAAAGTTTCTGCTACTGGTAAGAAAAAAAAAGTGTTTTCAAGAAAAATTAAATTAATTTTATTTATATATTTCTTTATTATTTTATTTATTATTTATTAATATTATCAAATAAATTGTATTTATTTAGTCTTTATCAAATAGATTTTTAAATAGGTAATGGCTCTAATAAAAATATACAATTATTATACTGAATCTGTTTTGTATAATAATATAGAGATTCTAGTTAGATGCAATTAACAAATACTTGATAAATTACATCCTAATTACAATGAGACCAATTGTTGTAAAAAATACATAAATCAAAAATTAAAAATAACAAAGCACTTTTGTAAGAAATATAATTATTTTTATTTATAAAAATGTTGTAGAAGTTGTGCTAATAAGATAACAAAATCTATTATTTCTTTTTATTGTAAAAATGTAATGATTTTTGTTCAGATAAAGAATGTAACAGATGCAAGAATTAGTTAATAGAACCAAAAGATTTTAATTCTAAAACTTTAACAGATTCTTTTACAAAAAGTTTTCATAGTTTTCAAATATATTATAAACCAGAAGCTAAGGATTTTGTTGAATATGATAGATATAATTATATTCAAGAGGATAGTGATCCTAGTGTAGTAGTTGGGTTGTCATCCTCCAAGTAGCAGATCTAAAATTCAAATTCCACTTACAATAAAATTTGGAAATTAACCTGTATTACAAAAACTGTTTTTTGTTGATCAGTTGGCCTTATATGGCTGTAATTCAGGTACACCAAGTTAGGTTCTACCTATCATTAAAAGCTTGGGCATCTATATAAAGTGTAATATTACATATACATAGAGGAATGTTAATAATCAGTGTTGTATAAGACTTTGGTACAAACTTATGATAAGACCACTAGGCACAGAAGACTAAGAAACTGAGGAGACAGAATCCTACTTGGAAATTCCCAAGTAAAAAGATAGCACAAACTTTTGACAATGCTGTCAAACTGATGAAAGCCCATGAAACATCTTTATAGAAACCAAAGATTAAAACTGAATGTCAAGATGTATAGAGAAGCATATGACTAACTAGGCTGCCAGATTCACTAAAGAAAAAGGATACTAAAGATATACCATACTGGGTCATCTGGATTGGTATTCTGAAATAAGACTGATAGTTCTGAGTTGTGGTTAGTAGGAGATAATAGAGAAGATGTTGGAAAGATAGGTACTGGGGTTTGGGTAAACTTTACAAAAGTAGAAATAGTGTAATATAGCAGTTTAAGGTTAGCCTTGACTGCAAGTGTTAGATAATTATAGCATGTTATATAAAACTAGGTTAGCTGTATGTAAAACATAGAAGGCTCTAGTAATAATGCTTCTAAGAATACATTGCATGAAATAAGATATAAGGTCCTAAGAATACAAATAAGCATCTAGACCTTTTTGACTGACTTATATAGCAAAGATAATCTAGTGATACAGTAAGGTTGCAGTACAGAGAGTTTAAATAGGCAACACTCCTAGTTGGATTGCAGATATGGCAGCTAGTGTAGAACTATTGGTAGACTACTTAATTAGATACCAAAAGTGTATGTATGACTAGTTGTACTCTCTAATATAAAGAGACTTTTTTGAGGCCTTAGCTGTAAGTTCCTATATCCTAACTATACTAAATATAAAGTCCTAGCTTCAAAAAAAACTAGTTTAACACAAAAAAAAAATAATAATAATTATATTCAAAATCAGAATGGCATCATATTAAATGATTAACTTTATATCAGTGACAATAAATTGATAATAGATGATTCTTTAGAATCTTCAAATCATTTATATAATTTTTTTTAATTAGTTTATTAAACTAATTAAATTTTTTTATACATAAACTCAATTATTTATTAAAAAAAAATAGCAGCAGAATACAAATTTTCAAAAGACTCTTATTTGTTTTTAAAAAAAGACAATTCATTATATTTTGACTTGAATTAATAATATTGAAGCAATATATTTGTCTAGAATTACTTTAGTTAACAAGAATTAAATAATTAATAAGATTTAAACTAAAATTACAACAAACAATAATTTGAAGCAAATTCACAAAAAAGTTATTAATAAATATAAAAGTTAGTATCTTTATTTTTCATTATGTATATTAGTCAATCCTAAGAAAAAGATCTGAATGAGTTATCATAATAATCTATCTAAAGATTATTATAGATATTACCAAACTACAGAAGGTTCAGTTGATGAAGAAAAATCATTTGATGGTTGTGTGAAAAGAAAAGTTTAAGAAGAAACTAAAATAAAATTAGATGAGTTTGAGTTTATTATTTTTGATGAAAGGTTTTGTTTTTTTTCTAATAAAGACAAGGAGTTTTTGTATAAGGCTGCTATCTATTTTGCTATTACTGAAGAAACATCTGAACAAACAGAACCTAATAGAAATGATATATAAGAAACATATACTATTAGCCAATTCAAATCGATAAAAGTCACAGATTTCTTATATACTAAGGAATTTGATATCATTGAAATAATTCTTAACAAATTCAAAAATCGCTAAACTAAGGAATGCAAGCTTAATCCTAAAACATCTGAAGTCACAGAAACTCAAGAAACCAAAACAAAACATGATAAACCTACTGTATTTACTCTATCTCCACTTTAGATTTTTTATTTTATTTAACTTTATTTTTTATTTTTATTTTTAATTTTTTTTTATTTTTATAAATTTATTATTTTTATTATTTTAAAATAAATCAATTCAATCAGTTTTGACTAATTAGAAAAAAAAATAAGTTGGCTGTGCCATTTTACTTTGTATTTGTGAATTTAAATTATGCTGTTATAGAAAAATAAGAGTATATTCTGAATATATATTTATGTATACTAAGAGTATATTCTATTATTTTTCAAGAAACTGATATTAAAGTTAGAGTTATATCTCTAAGATGTGAATACTGCAAACACTAATAAAAAGAATTCTTGTACTTATAATTATTATTTTTTTATTTTTAGATAACTAATTATAAATCTAGTCATAATTTTGAATGAATTATTAAAAAAATAGCAAAAGCTTTTGGATTATTAGCTTATGAAATTAAAATGATACAAGGTGATCATAGAATTAACATTATTGTAACTTATAAGGAAAAACTTATTCTTATTCAATATAAAAATACTAAAACACTTATTTATTTAAATTGTATAGGTTTTAGAATTAGCTATTTCAAAATTTGCATCTGATTCTCTTGGAATTATTGTTTATAATAGTAAAAAATTAAAAAAAAAATAGCAGCATCTAAAGCAAAACATTGGATGCAAATATTTAAAAGAAATATCAAAATTTGTAATGAAGAGAATTTGTAAAAATTATTAAGAGTTTCTATAAATTAGTTAATGATGATTTTATAAAGTTTGTTAATTTTAAAGTTGACAGGTTTAATATTGTTAATTTATTTTATTATTATTATTATTATTTTTTTTTATTTATTAAAGCCGATGTTATTGGTAGCTATCGTCTTTATTTGTGTTTTTGGTCAATGCATTACATATGACTTGTACAAGTTAAGTGTACAACTAGCCACACATGTAACTTTTGGTTACCTATTTAAATAGTCCACCCAAGAGTTTTATACTAGCTATCATGCCTGTAACCTACTAGAAGAGTACCTATTTAAACACTCTGATCCTTATACTACACCCAGATGAGTAACACCTGGTTCTCGTACAACTAAGTAACATCTAACCCAACATTTAGCTTTTCCTTTTGTACATCTGTCAAGCCATTAAACATTTCAAAATATGTCATCTGACTGTAAGGTTTCAGAGTATCCTTTTGTTAACTATCTACTCACTCTACAGAACATTAACAAGGCTAGCCCTTGTAAAGTTCACCCAAACCTCAGCACCTACTTCATAGTATATCCCTAGTACTTATAGTATACCCCTGCTTTGACTCCAGACTCCCAATCCAAATAGCTTGGTAGGACTGTGACCTGTCCTTAGTATATCAAGCCAGCCTAATATTCTTTTTCTCTGATTCAGTTTTAGTGACCTGGTTGGTGGTACCTCTCACCTGAGGTTCTTGCCTATCTGGCTTCTCCACATTGGTATTTGTTTTCTAGGTCTAGCCTTTATAGTAATACTGTCAAAGATTTGTGTTACTTTTCTATTTGGGTCTTTCCAAGTAAGCTCTAGTTTTCCAATTTTACAGATTTACATAGCCACAAGAACTTATTTTAGGTTTGCACTGCCTGGTACCAGTTTGTATTCCTCTGTGTAACCAAGGTTACACAGATGCCCCATAACCTGCCAGTCATGCTGGTGTGACCATAATTACAGATATCCTATCCCAACTGATCGACAGAATGCTATCGCTGTAATATCATTTATGTATTACATAGATGATTATTCAAATTTTCACTATTGATGGGTTTTGAACTCATAACCTACCACTTGGGAGGTTGACAACTTATCCACTTCACTAAGTTGCCACACCTCTTATTGTTAATTTATTAAAAGAAAATGTTTGTATTAGTAAAATAGGTATCAAAAAAAATAAAGAAAATAAATTTTATTTTCTTTAGTCTGTTTAGTTTAATATCAAACAGATTTTTCTTTTTATAACTTTTAAAAACAATTGATTTTACATATAAAATGTCAGATTTATTTTATAAACAAACTCAAGAACTTGCAACTATATACATGCTATTAATAGTAATAATAATCATTATACTATATATATAAGGTTAATATTAGAAACCCAATTAGATAAATTAGAAAAATTCAATTTCAAACATTACAAAACAGTATTTGAAACTTTCAAAGAAAAAATCAAGAGAATTATTAACTGTTCTTTGAATTTTGAATTAAAAAATATAAAAAAATATATGTTTTACTTTGCATCTAATAAGATTTATTAAGAAGTATATAAGTTAATTTCTAAAAATATAATTGGTAGTTTGTTTAGATAATGTTTTATAGTTTAAATTTTATTTTTTAATAAAATCTTTGAAATAGTATTGTTGTTTTTATTATTGCAATAGTTTGGTTTAGCTGCTAGTAAAAGAACTCTTAGAGCTTGGAGTTTGGATTCTTGAAGTTCAACTCTATAACAGTCTTTGTATTTAGAGTAATAGTAATCTATATTATAGAAATCTGGTTCTTGAGAGTCAATTAAAGTAGGCATTTTCTGAGTTATTTTTGATATTAGGGTATAACAAATAAGAGGTATGACAATTAATAGATGTGACAAATAACAGAGTGTAATGTTTAAGATAATACTTGATGTAACATCTAAATATTTAATGTAATCAACATAGAACAAAAATTTGTGTAAATTTGTTAAGACAAAATTAGTAATATTAAGTTTTGTTTAAAAATAGATAAAACAAAAATAGATTTGTATAAATTGATTAGTAAGCTTAATTAGTAATAGTGATCTACAGGTCTGGGATGCCCTAAAGAATCAGGATCTTCTCAAAAAAAAAAAAAATTTTCTCAAATTTTAAAAAAAAAAATTGTAAGATAATTTTAATATATTTTCTAATAAAACTGTCAGTTTTTGATCATATAGAGAGTATAATATATCAAAATAAAGATAAAGTTGTGCTAAATCTTTTTGTTTTAAGTAGCTACTATGTTTTACTTAGTAAAATAATAAGTATTTAGTGAAAAAAGAAATTTGTTTAATTTAGTTATATTTTAGTGTTAAAGATATAGGAGTAAGCTGCTTATATGTAAAATCTTATGAGGAACAATTTTACTTAGACAGCCAAGATAGATTTACTTAATAATTATTAAAGAAAAAAACAATTTTGTTTAGAAAGAATTTGGTACAAGTGATCATAGAAAGAGTTAGTCTTACTAAGTTTTGTATATAATTTTACAATACAATATAAATAAAATTTTATTTATATTTTATTGTAAAATTATTTTATAATATAAATAAAAATTTTATTTATATTATATTATATTTTATTTTTATATATAAGTAATATATTTATAAATTAAACTAAATAAACTTTATATAAATACACTTGTTTATATATATTTTTTTAAAAAAAAATAATAATAATAAAAAAGTAATTATATTTTTATTTATTTTTTATATTATATATAAAGAATTGCTATTTTCACTATAATAAATTGCTATTTCCATCATGGTAAATCATGTAACACAAATTAATTGCTATTAATCTCTGATCAACACTAACCATCATTAATAGAAGTTTCTAAATCCATCATATGATCATATGATCTGCATAATTCATATTATCCATATGATCATGTGTATTTTATAATTCATATAATGCAAAACAATTATTGTATATGCTGTATATACAGTACCTATAACCCACCCTTACTCAAAAGACAATCACCCAAAAGACAATTATGCAAGCTCTAACTTTTAAGAGAACATATACTTAAAAAAGCTAAAGTTTAATATTTCATATAGCATGTAAATATCTTTGGGTACTTTAACGCTAATGCTATATTATATATTTCTAATGCCACAATCTAATCTACTCTAATCAATTGCCTGGATATGTATTAAGTATATATTTAAAAAGCATAACAAAAGATTTTGACGATTAATATACTTACTATGTATTTATTAAGCTATGCATAATGAAAACTTCTAAATTGGAATATATGTTGGTTGAAAAAGTGTAGGCGATATAACATTTCAGGCTCATCTATGTTACTTCAAGACTACCTAATCTGGTGCTGTTTATTTTATTAGGAATCAGAAACATGGAGATTTTGTGATTTACTGCAATCTTAAAAAGTAGTAACCTATAGATTTTATAGGCATAAATACTGTAAATCACAAAATCCTATGTCTCTGCTGGGAATTAGTTTGTAGACAAGTTTATTTTTTGTTAATTTATTTACAAATGAGTTTATTTTACAGATAGTTTATTTTACAAATTATTTTTGGTCTTGTTATTAGAGTCAGACTTGAATTAAAGTTAGTGTGATTTATAAAAAAACTTGTCAATTAGATGAGCTACTGGTAAAATAACTGTGAAATAAGCTTGTCTGTAAATTAATCAATAGTAAAATAAGCTTGTCAGCAACTAATTGTAGATAAAATAAGCTGTTAGTAAAATGATATAAATCTGCCTAATCTTTAGCATTAACAATCCATATTACTTCTGGTGATCATTTAGATTATTTACTAATCAAAGAAAGATAACTGAAGATGTGTTAAAACTTTTACCAATTGTATTCAAAAACTTTGTAATTATTGAATAAGCATAGTTTATTAATAGACAATTAATATATGTTTATTAGTTCTTAAGTATTGGGTTTTTTGATCATGAATAAAGGTTTTGGTTTATAGATATTAGAATATATGTTTATAGATAATAGAATAGTGTATTCTAAATTGGTAGTTCTATTTTTACATTATCTAAAATATTAATTGAATCAAATATACAAGAATGT